TTTCCCCCCTCCCCAAGCTGCCCCCCCCCCCCCCCCATGTCTTCTCTCATAGTTCTTCCTTTCTTCAGAATGCCAACACCTCTTCCACACACCTGCAAGTTCTTCTCAAATGACTCGCTTCAAAACGTCCTTCCAGGTCAACACCAGTCCCACACACCTCCAGGTCTTTCTTTCATGGCTCTCCCTTTCTTCAGAACACCAATCAAAGAAAACCGCCATTTTCACGCACCTCCAGGACTTGTTCCATGTTGCTCCTTTTTTCTATAATTCCTTTCCAGGCCAACACCACTTCCTCACACCTCCCGGACTTTTCACCTGGTTCTTCTTTTCTCCAGTACGCCCTTTCTGGTCAACATCACTCTCAGATGTCTCCAGGTCTTCTCTAATGGTCCTTACTTTCTCCAACATACACTTCCGGGCCAACGCCACTCGCACACCTCCAGTTCTTCAACCATGCTGCTCCTTTTCTCTAGAATTCCATTCTAGACCACCACCACTCATGAGTCTCACTTGCTCCAAAATATCCTTCCCCCGAGGTCTTCTTTCATGGTTCTCCTTTCCTTCAGAACACCATCCAAGGACACTGCCACGTTCACACACCTCCAGGTCTTCTCCTATATACCATCACTTCCTCACACCTTCCGGTCTTCTCTCATGGTTCTTCTTTTCTCCAGAATGCCCTCTCTGGTCAACAACACTCTTGCACGCCTCCAGGTCTTCTCTAATGGTCCTTACTTTCTCCAAAATACACTTGCAGGCCAACACCACTCACACACCCCTAGGTCGGTCTTCTTTCATGGTTCTTCCTTGCTGCAGAACGTCAATCAAGGAAACTACCACATTCACACACCTCCAGTTCTTCCACCATGTTGTTCCTTTTGTCTAGAACTCCGTTCCAGACCAACACCACTCATGAGTCTCACTTTCTCTAAAATACCCTTCCCCCCCAAGCATAGATCACTCCTAAACCTCCAGGTCTTCTTTCATGGTTCTCCTTTTCTTCAGAACACCATCCAAGGACACTGCCACGTTCACACGCCTCCTGGGCTTCTCCTATACTGCTCCCTTTGTCCAGAACTCCTTTCCAGGCCTACACCACTTACTCGCACCTCCAGGTCTTCTCTCATGGTTTTCTTTTTCTAGAGAATGCAATTACATGCCAACTCCACTCTCACAAATCTCCAGGTCTTCATCCAAGCTACTACTTTTCTTTGAAACGCCCTTCCAGGCCAAAGCCACTTATACAAACCTTGAGGTCTCCTACCATGGTGCTCTCTGTCTCTAGGATTCCAGCATGCCATCAGGTATTTGATAACTCTTCCAAGTCTTTCAACCCAACTACAAACCTTTTATCCCAAATGTTTATGATTATCCTTCCAGGCCTTCACCACTCTCACACACCTTCAGGTCTTCTTTATGATTCTCCCTTTCTGCAGAATGCCAATCGAGCAAACTGCTACTTTCACATACCTCCAGGTCTTCTACCATGCCGCTTCCTTTCTCTAGAACTCTGTTCCAGGCCTACACCACTTACTCACACCTCCAGGTCTTCTCTCATGGTTCTGTTTTTCTCCTAAAGACCTCCTGGTCTTTAGTCATGGTTTTTCTTCCTTCCTCCAGCATGCCCTTCCAGGTCAACAGCACTCTCGCATGACTCCATGTCTCTCTTAATAGTTCTCACTTTCCTCAAAATACCCCTCCAGGCCTACACCACTCCTAAACCTCCAGGTCTTCTTTCATTGTTCTACTTCTCTTCAGAACACCATCCAAGGACACTGCCACGTTCACACAATTCCTAGTCTTCTCCTATACGGCTCCCTTTCTCCAGAACTCCTTTCCAGGGCAAAACCACTTACTCGCACCTCCCGGTCTTCTCTCATGGTTCTCTTTTTCTCCAGAATACACTTACATGCCAACTCCACTCTCACACACCTCCAGGTCTTCACCCGTGCTGCTACTTTTCTTTGAAACTCCCTTCCAGGCCAACACCACTTACACAAACCTTGAGATCTTCTACCATGGTGGCTCTCGGTCTCTAGGACTCCAGCATGCTAGCGATGCACCAATACCCAGTGGGGAAGCTAGACATTCTGTCACCCAGAGCAAATACTCAAAGTTGCTCCGCCCGAGGGAGAAATTCTCCATCCACAAAGCCAGTGGCATAGGTCAGAGGAAATCTTCAGTTGACTGGAAGTTCTGGTATCGGAGCATTTGGGTGAGTGCGAGTACTCGCCCAAATACTTGGTATCGGCACCAATACTGATACTAGTACTGGTGCATCCCTACAGCATGCCATCAGGTATTTAATAACTCTTCAAGGTCCTCTTTCTCCAGAATGCACTTACATGCCAACTCCACTCTCACACACCTTCAGGTCACCACCACTTACACAAACCTTGAGGTCTTCTACCATGGTGCTCTCGGTCTCTAGGATTCCTGCATGCCATCAGGTATTGAATAACTCTTCAAGGTCCTCTTTCTCCAGAATGCACTTACATGCCAACTCCACTCTCACACACCTCCAGGTCTTCACCCATGCAGCTACTTTCCTTTGAAACTCCCTTCCAGGCCACCACCACTTACACAAACCTTGAGGTCTTCTACCATGGTGCTCTCGGTCTCTAGGATTCCTGCATGCCATCAGGTATTTAATAACTCTTCAAGGTCTTTCAATACCTTTTATACCAAAAGGCGTAGAACAACCGATACACAATATTTGTGATTATAGCTCACATTTATACAGAACATCAAACCTGGTCAATTCTCAGTTTCCTTGATACGTTTTACCAATTTCTCATAGAATACACACAGTAAATATACACAAAGACCAGCGCCGTTACCAATTGCGATATTGTAACATTTGCCTCCTGAGAACTCCAAGCTCAATGCAGCTTGGGGGGTGGGCAGAAGGTGAGGACCGTTTCCATATGGGAAAAAAAAAAAAAAATCACAAATTCTTAGCTGTGCAAACAAAAGACTGAAATACAGAAGATAAGAATGGGGGACATGTGAGCATCGTCACCTGATGTCGCTGTGGCGTTCGTGGGCGTAGACACGGAGGCCTGGTTTCGAGCGTGTGGTGGGATGAGTATAGATGACAGCGAGGGGTTGCTTGACAGTTCTGCAAGTAATTAAAAGGGGGGGAAAAAAAAAAAACAGTTGTGAGGAAACCCCTTCAACAGATTTGCATTTACTTCTTCACAGGGTCATATCTGGTTGATGGA